TTAAGTCAAGTGATAACAAAGTCCGTCACGGGGATCCCCGTCACAGGGATGAGGCGAGAAAAAATATTCCTCCCCGCAGGGTGGAGATGGAGAGTATTTTTCCCCCGTGAAATTTCATAGGGAATTTTCCCCACCCAGTGGGGCCCTGCGGGGATCCCTATTCCTGCAAAAATTAAAATAAATATAAATTAATTTTATTTTAAATTTACTTCATCTTTAAAACTTAAACCCAAATTCAAACCCAAACTCAAGTTCAAACTCAATTCAATCAAAATTAAACTTAACCCAATTTTACCTAATCCAACCCAACCCAATCCGTAAAAATTAGGCAAAATACCCAAATCCACCCCCAACTATAGTGGCAGGGACGGATCCAACCCCAAACAAAAAACGGAGACAAATACATCCACAAAGTTTTCAACTTGGACAAATAACCCATTATTTGATGGGCCGCGTCAGCTGCCGTCATCTTCCCGTTAATGGCATGCTTACTCAGACATTTTAAACACGATGGAGGTTTTTTTGCTTGCGTGGATGTTGAACTGGCCCATTCCCATCCATTTTAATCATACGTGGCGATTTTTCTCCCCTTTCCATTACATGTCAACTAAGCCCCACCTATAAAATTCCATAAAACCCTTAAACGGCTAAAACCTAACTTATTTCTATGTCTTCCCTTTTCCTTCCCTCTTCTCTTGAAATCTAAAATCGTGGGTTAGGGTTTCTCTTTATCCTCTAAATCTAGGTTAGGAAAAGCTAATTCTATGGCATCTTCCTCTAATTCTCGATCATCAGGACTTGAAGCTTCTTTTGGGGTGAGAGATTTTGGGTTGATTGAGCACACATACGAAGGGCATCAGATGTTCTGCGAGTGTGGATTAAAGGCACCAAGGTGGACTTCATGGAGACCATGGAGCATTGGTAGATGCTTTTATGGGTGCCCAAACTTCTTGAATGCTGTACGCATAATTTATTCGTTATAGGTATGTAATTTTGTTTTATTTTGTAATAAATATTTACACTTGGAAATATTTTTCATGTAGGATTTGAGGTGTGCATACTTTGTTTGGCATGACTTTGAACTAACAATTGAGAGAGCTACTGAGTTTGTAAAATTGTTGATTAACGAGAAAAAGTGTATGAGTAACGAAATTGCAGCTTTGAAAAGGTAATTAAAACAAAGAAAGTTGGGTGGAACTGTACCTGTGTTAGATGAGTTACCTGTATTGGTTGAGTCAAGCCATGCCACATCAAGTGCTAACTTGCAAGAATATGGCCAAAGAAATGGAGTTGAATTGGAGGAAATTATACAAAATTCTGTGTCAAGAGCTGTTGATGATGTGAAGAGAAAGATGGATACCTCAGTTTTAGCTTCTGTCCATTCTGAAATTAGGAAATTAATTTGTACTTTTGTACTGGCTTTGGGGGTTGGGTTTGTATTGGTTATGTTCATTTGGTTCTTATTTTGAGATCCTTGCTGTAAGGTGTATGGGGTGTCATATTTTGTTTGTTTGTTCGGGGCATGGCATATTCTGCTTAGTTGTAAGAACATTTTGGTCATGTCTTTTATGGCAGTAATCAAATGTAATTGACTTTTTTGCAATGGACAATAGCTAAATCACAATCATGATGTTACCCTAAAACATGCAACTACACAAGCAAATTTGATTGAATATAATGCCATTAAAATAAAGCAAGACAAGATATAATAAAGCAAGGCATTATAACCACATGTACATCCCCAAAACAAGAAAATATAAAATGGCATTGAGTCATGCTTTCTCTTTTCCCTTTACAGATGATTGCTTTGTCTTCTTTCTTGAGTCATTTTTGCCTTCATTGATGACTACTCCTTCAACCTACATAATATACACACTAGTCATTAAACATTTGAAATTTAATATGTGAAATAAATATTCAAGTACAATAATTTTGAAAAAAAACTTACACAATCAATCTTTCTTTTGGCCCTCGTTTCCCTTTTAAGTGGTTCCTTGCCTTTAGCATCATTCACCTTTTTTTTGGTAATTTTTTTAGTTTGTTCTTGCACCTTCTTCCCTTTTCCTTTTCCTATAGTCACCTTGGGTTTTTGGTTGGCCTTTTTCTTTTGATGCTTTTTATCATCCTGAAATTGTAACATTGAAATTAAAGCCAACAAAAAAGATAAAAATTTACATGAGGTAGTGTAAACTTACATTGCTTTGATTGGTCCCTACTAACTCCTCCTCTCTGGGACATCCAGCTTTATTGTGTCCCTGTTGACCGCACAAGCTACAACTCATCACAGACCCATGCTTGGACAACTTGGTGAATTTCCCCACCTTAGCTTTCTTAGGCTCATGCTTATCTTTTCTTCTATTCCTCCTTGGTCGTCCTGGTGGTGTTCCCAACACTGGTGGTAAACAACCTCCTTTTGGTCTCCTCTTCAAGACCTCATTGCCTCTAAGGCACTCCAATGCAATCCTATAAGCTTGCAAGTACTTTTCCTTCTTATAGTGCTCATGAACAAAATCTTCATAATTCCAATTCATGTACCTAACAACTGCCAAGACATGAGGGTAGGGGATTCTAGTTAAATTCCATTCTCTGCATGAATAATTTTTCGCTATGAAATCAATGACATGTGTCACATCAGTAGTAGTATCACACACAGCAAATGAAGGGTCCCCATTTCACTTAACATCGCACTGCATTGACCTCACGGTATTTTCCTTTATCTTTTTCATGACTCTAGGTGCAATATCATTCGGCCATGTCTCTGCAAACAATCTTTTTTCCTTAAATCTCTCTATCAACTGGTCAATTAAAGCTCTAATCATAGAAATGATTGCCTTACACCTAGCAGCCAAAATCCATGAATTGAATGTTTCACACATGTTGTTATCAACAACATCACACTTATAGTCTTCATCGAAGAATGCTTTGCACCAAAACCTTCCTGGCAGATCCATCATCTTAGCATAAACTTCCTTGGATACTCCCCTCAACTCCTCCATTTCCTCCAGAAATTCAATTTGGTATGATGCCCTTGCAGCTATCTAAAAGGCCAGTTTGATATCATTCCCTCTATGCCTCTTTGCAAGGTTGCAGTATAGGTGTCTCGCACAATATCTGTGATTTATAAGTGGCAAAACCTCTGCCTTTGCACAGATAATTCCCTACAAGATTAATTTAATAAATCAAGTTATTTAACAACATAACAAGTAAAATATCAAGAATATACAAAATAATGAAAATACATACTGGATGCCTGTCAGATATCATTGTATAACCCTGCCCAGTTCCAACCTCCAAATCAAATGCAAGCCTTTACATGAACCATGTCCATGAATCATTGTTCTCAGATTCGACTATAGCACATGCAATTGGGTACATCTGGTTATTTCCATCACGACCAACAGCAAACAGTAGTACAACCTTACAAATTCCCTTAAGAAAACAACCATCAACTCCAAAGATTCCTCTACAACCATTCTTCCAACCATCTTTGATAACTTTCAAACAAACATATATTCTCATGAACACTCTCTCACCAACATCATTTTCTTCAGTTTTAATGAAAACTGAGTTTCCAGGATTGACCTCCTTCAAATACCCACCAAATGCATGAATCATGGCATACTCATCCTTAAAACTCCCCTCCATCTCCTTCAATACCATCTTCTTGGCTCTAACACATTTCTTATAATTTATACTAACCCTCAACTCATTGTATGCAAATATCATCATATCTTTGCATTTCAAAAAAGGTGTAGCATAAATTCTTGATTTAAAGTACTCAGCAACCATCACAGCTGTCATCATCTTGTTTTCTGAATTTTTAACACATGTATGTTCAGAGTAGTATGTTTTTACCTGGAAATTGTCATCTTTATTGACATATGAACCATAAATCTCCCAACAACACAAACCAGATTTGCAAATGAACTTTTGTCTCTTAGGCTCGTTCCTTATATGGAGTAAAGGACAACCTTTCCTCACAGAATACTTTCTCACTGCTTCCTTGAATTGTGCTGCATTTTGAAATCTCATAACAACTTCAAAGAATGGTACATCCCAAGAAGGATTAAAGTACACATTAGAAGCTCTCATTTGTCTTGTTGTATCATATGAAACAAAAAACAAATTTTCTTCTTCAGACTCAATAGATGAATCCCTCAACTTCCCAGCATCATCACTGTTTTTATAGTGACTATCTCTGCCATCCTTGTCACTTTCAAACACATCATTCTCAACAGGAATACCTTTAGAAGAATGTAGAGGATCTCCTTTCTTCTGTTTAGTTGGTGTTGAATCCTTTCCCTTTTGACATTCCCTCCAATGAGGTAGTGTTTTGTACCTTTTTTCTGCAAGCTTTGCCTTTTCTTTCCTCAACCTACTCAACTCAGCAGGATCTGACGATGCAAGCTTCTTACCCCTAGAGACTGGAGTAGATCTAGTGGCTAGCTTCTTTATAGGGGTAAATCTAGGGGTTGGCTTTTTTATAGGAGTAGATCTAGGGGTTTGCTTTTTTGCAACATGCTTGTACTTGACCCCTTTTGGTGTTTGAAGCCCATTGGGAACTTCTAACACTTCTGTTGGTCTCCTAATAGACCTTGCACATTTCTTCACATCAATTAACTACTCATCATCTCTATCACTACTACAAAGAGGTTCTACTTCATCATCTGTCGAGCTCCAATCATCAACATAACCATCAGTTGACCCAAGCTCTGTTCCACTTCCACAATTACCTCTATTACCCTTACTACATTCACCTTTCTCAATTGTATTCCCAGTATTACCCTTACTACCAATAGGGCACTCTTGGGTTATGTTACCCAAGTCACCTTCATCTACTCCCCCACTAACCTCTCCATCAATACCCTCACCTAGCCTTTCTTCATGTCCACTTTCCTCTTCATCTACCCTTTCTTCATGTCTGCCTCCCTCCTCAACTACATTGTTACCAACCCTACATAATTGTGGAAAAGCAAGTTGGGCAAAATTGACCTCATGATCAACATATATATCAACACAACCCTCAGCACGCACCATGCGCAAAATGTCCCTAATACTGTCATCACTAGCCAAACACTTTAATTTCATAACACTTCCTCCAATTGTTGTGTAATACACATTCTTAATCATAACATCTTCATAGCCAAAACTAACAATTGTATCCATGATCACACCAACATTTAACCTATCCATGTCAAAGGGTAATGCTGTACATGAAGCAGCTTTATACTGGATTGGTGGTCCTGGAACAAATGTCTCACCATGCAAAAAAACACAACACTCTTCAGAATTCATCCGCCATGCTGTTCAATAAAAAATGACCAAAAAAAAAAACATTACCTTTTTTAGTGGCCCACAGATTAACATCAACATTAATATACTACCCATCCCAAACCCACAACCAAACCTACAAAATGTAAGCACTTTATAAAACCCCTAACCCACCCACAACTTTCTATACAGAAAAAAAAAACACCAAAAGACCAAAAGCAATACTTACTGTCCCTTTGTCCTGACCAACGAAGCCCTTTATCTTGCTGATTCAATTTCTTATTTCGATTTCCGTCTTGAGATTCGCCAAGCAATGTCGTATCCCCTCCAACTATCGATCAAAAGATTCTTCAAGTACTGTCGTAGAGAGACTTGAGTTTGGAGAATGGTGAAGGGAAAATGGGTGAAGCAAAAGGCTTTGGCTAGATTCGTGTAAAGTGTACTGATCGTGTTCCACTGGCCTAGATGGCATCATCATTTGAATACGAATAAAGTTTATTCAACAGGGCCAATAAAAATTGCCGATTCATAATGGATGGTTGTTTCCAGCCGTTGAATCTATATCCATCCCATAAGCATGACGTCAAGGGGATTTGGTAAGCTTGCGGACGTGGGAACATGTCATGTCTTTTATTTTTT